GCACCGCATCGTATATTTTTGGAAATGGTTTCAGCTGCAGCATAAAAAGAAATGTTTAAATTTATTAAAAAAAATTCATTCATTAAAAAATAACAATCTAAAGTTGAATTTTTACATTTGTTTCGTTAATGTACTTATAATTTACAAATTATTTATGTTTTTGTGGTAAGAAAACAATCTGCTAATTGACCTCCCCCAAACAGCATATGTCTCATTCCACTACTTAGCTGTCAACGTTCACAGAAAATATTTAATTATTTCCCAAAAAGGGGGCATATTTCAAATAATAAAATAAAATAAATAATTATGTAAAAAAAAAACAAACGTTTTAACAGCTTTTTTTTAGGATTTTATGTGTTTTAATTAAACATTTAGCTTGACTCTCCTCAGCCTTGTTTTATGGCAGATCTACACACCATTTGCATGGAAAGCAACGCCTCGACATCATCGCAGTCAAAATAAAAAAGCAATTGCCAAATAAAATAAATACAATTTATGTAACAGACATATGGTAGGTGTAGTTTCACCTCTCCCGGCTGAGTTTCCATTCTTTCATGCAACTAAGTATAGGTCCACGTTGAATCTAATTTTGCGCAGCTTTTGCCATATGCAGCTGGCAAAGCCTCGCTGTGGCTTAGCTATCCTTGTCGCTTCGCCGGCCATCAGGGCTGGCTAGGCACAAGGCCCGACTGGCTTTTGGAATGAATTTAGATTGCTCTTTTCTGGCCCACACTTTCAGCTGTGCCCAGTAACTAGTCCTGGTTTTGTGCTGTGGAAACGAAGGCATTGTCTTCAATACAGAAAGTCCCGTTCTACAAAATTGGCCAACAGTTTTAAGTGGCTAAAATGCAGAGACATGCATGCATACATAGACAGGACAATTGCACAGATGAGCGGGCAGGGGGCGGAGTTGTGGAGCAACACTTTTGTTGATCGAAATGGCTGGTGGAATTAAAAGGAGGGCACGGGGTGTTGGAGTGGTTACCTTGTTCTAATGCGCAGATAATTGCAGTTAACAGTTGGCATATGACCATTTATTATATATACCACACATGCTGCACGCCGCAAGCTGCATGCCACATGCTATTGCTTTATTTTAAACGCTTTCGGGCGTAGCGCTGGCAAGAATTAGTCACACCATGGCCACAATGTGCATGCCACTGCAACCAAAGAGGCATATAAAACGCGTCAAGGCGTCACTCCGTCTAGCTCGCTCTTGCTCTTAAATTCTCTATCTCTCGCGCCATCTCTTTCGGTGGCCGTCTCTAAATGTCTCCATGTCTGCCATAAATCTTGCTAACCTGCATTGTCCTGCGGCCGTCGGCGTCGCAGCCTTTGAAATGCCAGTTCAACTTGCCCATAAGTGGCTTAAATGTTGAATTCCAAACACAATGCGAGAAAAAAAGCATCCGGAAGGGTGGGCTGGATTCGAGGCAGTAGCATTGTGGCAAGTGCCAAGCATGTGCCTGGCCTCGCAACGCAGCGCAGCGCATCCGTCGCCATAGCCTGTGCCACACTGCGTCTCTGCCGCTGTCTGTGCCAGTGCCGTGTGCCATGAATGTCCTTATAAATTGTCTGCAATGTTAAATGTTGCATGCGCCGCTCTCTGTGTGGGCAGCCCCACCCCCAACCGCTTACTCTGTAGTTTTGCCTGCACCACAGAAATTTATGGCGGTGCCACACAACGAGCATAGGCAACTGGCAACTGGCAACGAGCATTGCAACAGCTCCATGGCTCCTGGTACGATTCCTGCCACTAATCAGCACACGTTTTAGTTGGCGCTGCCAAGCAGCGGAAGCTCAAATTGTTAAAAGCAATAAAGCTAATAAGTGATGTGGCAAATGTGCGGCCTTGCCACCAGCTCCCTCTCTCCTTCTCTCGCACCCTCTTGGTATCTGCCTCCCACGCCCTTCCGCTCCCACTTTTCCTGTCCCTTTATTTGACTCAATCTCTCGTTTTTGCGGTATGTATGGACCCTTTTGCGATTACAGTTCCTGTGCCACTTTTAAATATATGAATCCACTTCGAGGTGGACGCGTGAAACATATTGAGCCGTTATTCCCATTAAAAGCCTAGCTCTGATATTTTTTGAGTAGATGTTCACAAAGGATATTTTAATTGTTTCCCACTGGTAAGATCTTATAAGATAAAATAAGATTTAATCAGCCAGAACGAAATTTGACATATTTCTGAATATTAAGGGCAACTTGTAAATTAAAAGTAATTCAACAATGGAAGAGTGCCCCATTATATTAATAAATATGTTAATTATATTAACTATTAATTATACTCCTTGAATTTTGTTATAAGGCTAAGGTTAGGGTGTCCCATTATATTAATAACTTTGTTAATTATATTAACTATTTATTATACTTCTTGATCTTTGTTCTAAGGCTAAGTTTAGGGCTGTCCGAAAGGTTCCCCAGGGAAATTTGCAATTAACGTTCAAGCAAAATAAAAAAAAAACTCAATAGGCAGTTGAAGTTTTTGTTAAAAGTTTCGAAAACATGTTTTATCAAAAACTCCGTGCTTGCCAACAAACTATTTTTGAATTCTTGCGAGTGTTTTATCAATGGCAACCATAGTTTTATCCCTTTTAATAAGCTTTGCCTTTTCACAAGCTCGAAGAAGTTTCAGTTTTTTTTTGCTTACAATGAAATTACAAGTGTGTGTGCTTGTGGCATGTGGTCCATACCTAGTTCCTGCGGCAGTTGCAGTTGCCAACAACGGGAAATCAGCAATTAGCGACAGACCAGTTGGCCAATGCCCTTGCCGCTGCACTCTTCAGTGGGTCATAAAACCACCAACGGTCCCGGCTAGCTGGCTGGCTGCCTGCCCGCCTGCCAGGCAACGGACCGCTGAACCACCCAACCCAATCACTGCGTCAGGCACGCATTTCCGCCACCGCCAACTGCTTCCGGTGGCACTTTGCACTTTGACTTGGCTGCTCGACTGCGGCTGCTGTTTGCACGGCCTTTGTGGGATTCTCGCTCTCTCTCTTTCTGGTAGATGCCCATCTCTCTCTACACCGCCACTCTGGCACTCGGCTGGTATCCTTGTCGTCCTGCTGCTCGTCCTGTGTCATGTAATTTTATGACTAATTAGTCAGCTACTACGTCAAGTTGGCAACTACATAAAGCACTGGTGGTGGGTGGCGTGCGCCGGACGGAGGACCGGTATGGGTTACGACATTCGTTTAGTTTAAGTCTTGAACAGCCATGGGCGTTTCTTGATCACAGGGCGTGGCCGTTTATTTGCTTTGCTGCGCTTTTAATTGCAAATTTTCTGCTGCAGCATTTTTATGGCACGCGTCGATGTTGACGTCGACAGCAACAACAATAACAATAAAGGCGGATACAACAACAACAACAGCTGCCTCCGGTCTGTCTACAAAGTTGCAGTTTGTTAGTTGGCTGCTGCCAATTGGCTTTGTTGGGCCCTTTGTTCCCGCCTTCTTTGCCCCCGACATCCCGAATCAGACCTTACCGCCAGCCTCTCCAGCACCTAGAGCCCTCACCACGCCGACATTCTCTTTGTTCTTATTTGGCTTTGTGTAATTTTGCAGCAGAAATCACAAAGTAGCAGATTGAAGACATTTTTGAATCTGCTTCGGCAACTTCATTGAGCGCAATTTGCAGTAATTTGTAAAAGCCTTAAGCTAATTTCTGCCAGTGGACTTGAAAATATAAAACACATGACCTCGTACTAGATCCTGTTAAGAGCTAAATGTGAATCTGGCTTTAACATTTAAGAGGTGGAAAAATAAACATAATCAGGAAAAGTTGTATTTAGGCGTGATCACTTAAGGATAACGGTTATTAATATAAGCTTTTACATTAATGCTATAATATATGCAATGCATTCCATTATATTAAGATCTTAAAATCCCTTAAATTTAAAAAAAATTATATAAATTAAATTTCTCTGAACCGTTTATTTCCAGCTTCCAAAAGACCATAGCTCACCATATCTAATTTGGGCGCTTATTAATTATACTTGAGTCATAAATAAAAGAGCCAAAAATTGTGTTAAATTTACAACTGACAAAAAGACGACAAATGATTTCCGCTGCTAAATTATCCACTTCCGTTGCATGTTCAACATTTGTGTGCCCCCAATAGCAATCCCGCCCTAAAATCCAAAAACTGTCGAGTCAACTACAAGCAAAGTTGGGCAACACCTGCAACAGGACCTGCCCGAAAGCCAGGGCTACAGCTGGGTAAACGGCAGATGGCTTACAGCTGGAAGTTTGTGTGTGTGTTTGTGTGTGTGTGGGGGGCTGGCTTGGCTTGGCGTGCTGAATTTTAAAAATACATACGAAATTTAAATGACAAGCAACTAATGGAAATTGTTAACAATTTTCAATGGCAGGTGGCAAGAAACTTTACCAACCGGCTGCGACCTGCTGCGCCTTGCTACTACTCGAGCAGCAACCTTTGCAGCAAAAATCAGCTAACAGCACAACAAATGGCTTCATTTATTTGCGTCTTTTGTGCAATGTTAGCGGCACTTCCGCCCGGCGTTGGCGTGAACAGCTCAAGAAATCCTGATTTACGTTTAGCACGCCCCCTCAGCAGACGTAGAGTGTGAAAAGTTTGCCTTAAAAAGTTTACAACCCTTGACAGTGGGCAAAGCCGAAGTTGAAATTCCCTTGCAGATACATCATTTGCGCGGGATTTAGTAAACAAAACATATTACAGTACTGATTTTGACTGGCATTTTTCTTTTAAGACCGACCAGTTTTGGAGTTTTTAAATTATTCCTATAGAAGCAATAATAGATATTTATACCAAGTTGTATCTTTATCGTTGCACTGAGAATACAGAGCACATTGAATGGTACAAGGAAAAGAAAAAATGCAACAAAGCGTTACATATTTCACAACAAAATTAAATTACCTCCAAAAAGGTATTGTAAAACGACCAATGGCAAAAGAAACATATAATGTTTATAAATAAGACGAAAGAGTAAAGTAGAAAGTTGTAAGAGAACTTATTGCTGTTGTTGTTGTTGTAGCACTTGCAGTGATTGAATGGCCAACAGGCTTTAATGTTCTTTTTTTTTTGCAGTATTTTTTCTTTAGCAAACTTTGACTTTGACTGAAAGGAAAACCTCACTTTAAGTTTTTCCGAAAAGTTAAAACTTTCGGACATCCCTAAATGGCAGCTGCATTGCGGCTGCAAATAAAATAAAAACACACCGACATTTTTCAATCATTCTTCTAACTGGTCCTCACCTACTTCATGTATCATTGCTTTGGAATTTCTGACAGGAGAATTATCAATTGACGCGTCGAGACTCGTTAAAGAGCGGCGCACTCTGCGCTTACCGCTGCCCTCGGAGGCAATTAGCGCCTTCTTGAGCTCCATTTCCTCGCTATTTACCTTCAGACAAATGTCTATGAACAGGATGAGATCAATGTTTTTCAGACGTTTGGCATATTTAAAGGCTATAGTTAACATTTCCTTCTGCCTCTCAACTTTGCCCAGCACCGTATGCGCTTTGCAGGCGATTAGTGCGCTCAAAGCGGCCCATACGTAGCTATTGCCCTTGATTGCTTCTGAAATGTATGTTATTTGAGTGTAAGTCACATACTCTCAGCAATACTAACCATCCATGGATTTGCGAGCCAGCAAGCAGCAAGTATCGAAAGAATGATTATCGAGATTCGCCTGAGCCGCTTCATGGTACAAGTAGCTGCGTTCTATAGGATACTTGGCAAATCGCATGCGGCTTTCAAATCGAGCTATACGTTGTCTAAAATAAGGACGAAATACTTATAAATAGTTATACATATCGTCATAATAATCAGGTCTAACTTAAATATCTCTGCTTTGGGATCAACAAGCTGCTCTCGCTTAATTTGCATTATATTATTGAGTTTAACATTGGCGGCTGTACCCAGTTCAATTGGGATCTTGAGTAAATTCAGTAGACGTGTTCGTCCCGATAATGTTTTTAGGGCGCTTGAAATTTTGTATTCATTAATGCGGGCCAAACCCAAGTAGTTGTAGACCTCATTAATGAATTCAAATTTCCAAGGCATAATGCGGTGCGTCTTGATTGTTACATAGTCGCCCGTGACCTCATCCACAAATTTCGTTAATTTCTAAAATATAAAAAATAAAAAACAAAAAACTATTTAAAAACACTTGATAACGAACCTTTAGCTCATGTTTGCTGATCAGAGCTCGAATAGTTCGCAATATTTTGAACATATTTCGTCTCGTTTGATATTGTATGCGAAAGAAGTTCTCCTCCTGATTTTTCAGATACAGTTCGTTGTTCGGATACGTCTTAATATGTTTACTGTACATGGGGCAGCGGGCGTGCAGCATTTTCTAGATAAATCAAATATACACATTTAGCCATGCACAGATAATTATACGCGAAAAATAAACATACTGTAAATGTTCGAACTGTTTTGTATTTTTCATTGGCTAGACGTTTTAAATACTTTGTTGACTCGACGGATTCTTTTAATAAGAGGCTTGGATTTTCACGTAAACTCTTAAGAAAAGAAACATCCATCCAGGATTTGTTTAGATAAGCTTGACTATAGGTCTTGAAGCGTCGCTCGCGACGCTTTTTCTCCAGCGGTGAGAGAAACTCTTCCTGAAAACAAACAAAAATATTAATTCCCTGATCCCCAAACACATATATGATTGTTACCTCCTTCTCCAATATGCTGAGCACATCACAGTCTGGCTTCACATATGTGGGCTGCTTGGCCAGACCTGTTGTCATTTTGTCTATAAGAATATGCACTGCCGGTGCTGTTTCGTCCGAAAGCGCATCATGTATATTACCATTGACCTATGAATCAGTAGTGCCATGGTGTAGGCTATATGTTATATGCTTTATAAATAAATATATATATATATATATTTAACTAACCACACTCAAACGATTCAGCAATGGCCTTGCTTGCGAATAGCAAAAGAGCCTCAGATTGTAGTGAAGATTTCGCTTGGCATCCTCAAACTTATTCGATTCATAAAGCGCATCACAAATCTCCAAATTGATTTCTGGATCGAAATTAAACCGACTTTTTCTTTTTAAAGTATCTGCAAAATTGAAATAAATTTTTTATAGCTTTCTATATATATGTATATCGGATTTGGCTCTCAACCTTTAGCTTTTAAACAGTCAATCAGTGCCTCCGGCGCCCGCGCCACTTTTCTTTTGATTTGACTTCGCCTCAACAGTACCTTCGTATCATTTGGGTCAATTTCCAGCGCAGCATCAAAGTATCGACTACCGGCATGTAGGTTCTGCCTATGAACAAAATAGGAGCCCCAATCGGTGTACATGGCTCGCAGTTGACCATCCGTCCACTTGAGTACTTGCCATGGCTCCAGGTGCTTTTGCACTCCAGCGGATGGTGCGTATAGTTCCGCGCTCTGAGACATTGTCGTGTGTTTGCAATTGGGGTAGTGTATTAAAAACGGTTAAAAGATCGTTTAAAACTATATAAAATAACAATTAAAAAATGTTAAAATTAATTATTAAAAAATTATATATATTAAAATCATGTGTGTTTAGTGTGTCTAAATCTAATTTATGACAGGCAAACACAGCCTGATATCTGGGCTCCTGAGTTTTCAATCAAAATCTGACAGAAATGGAAAGGGTACTACTACTGTACTCCCTATTAATATGACAATTAAATTTATTATTATATAAAAACCATCCATGGATGGATTTTAAGACTTTTATTTGTTCTGAATACAATTTTATTAAATGTTTATAAAATCTTAAAGTTTAACTTTGTGAATATTTTAGAATCGTGTACAAGATATTTATATTTCATATTTGTAACTATTTTTTAATACATGCTGTAATAATACACTTTTAATATCTTTGGTGAATATTCTTGTATTAACTGGGCCATTTTCGTCAACAATATATTTTAATGAGTATATCTGTTCAGTGCTCTCAACAATTGGCTCTCCCAGAGTGTTCCCGTGTGCTTTGGTATTATAATTGCTCTGGGAATTATTAAGGCAAATGGGCCGCTCTTTAGCCGAGAATATAAAAGGATTTATCATACTCAGTATAGCTAGGGGCTTTCTAGAAATATATACAAATAAGTCAACTATATTTTTTTATTTTTAAATTATTATTGTTTTTTGTATCTTACAATGTTTTCAGGTCCACCTTGGCAATATTGCGTACATCGTAGCCATGTTCCTGGTTTGAGTTGAATCCAACCGACTTATTGCCCAAAACTATTGTGTAGTCTGTAGGCAATTCGGAACTGCTGGAAAAACAGTTGGACACAGTGAGCACATAAAATGGGTCAATAATTGAGCCCAAGCAACGAAATATATAATTATTATTTGAGATGCGTTGAAATACGCTGACCAGCCATGGATCCTCTTTAACTGTGTCAAAAGTTCTTCCACAGTCAGGCTTGCATTTTAGTTTCGAAACTTTAGTATTGACCTTTGACCATTTCCCATTCGTGTTGCATATGAGTTCTTCATGGGAAATAGTGGATGTATAGCCCTTAGCACAATGAATGATGGCCCTGGTTGAGGCCACAAGTGGATCTGTGGCACAATCGATGGTATTGTTATTGGAACTACACGCGGCCTGAGTACTGGGATCATTTATAAGACTGTTACGATCGCAGGCATTTACACACTCCGCCCACGGTGCCTTCCATTCACCATTATCGCAAGTGTTTACATCGCTGCCCTGAAGAACATACGTCTGGCTGCAGCTCAGTCGCACCGTCGTCTGGTGGGACACGGTACCCCCGTTGAAATATGGCATGCCATTGTACAAGGTTCTCAGACGCAACTGCGCGCCGATCACAGTGCAGCTCTTCTTAAATTCTGGCGGCTGAACCGTTGAAGTAGACACAGACGTTGGAAGCGGACTTTTGTCGGTTGTAGAGATTTCCCAAGACGGTATGTACCAGTCCTCAGTTGAGGTCTTATTGCTCATTTCGTTGCATATGACAGACAGTTCATCGGACCCATCTAGGCAATCAATACGGTGATTACAGGCCGCCATTTTGGAAATGCAGGCGCCGTAGGCACAACGAAAGGAACCGGGTGGACAGATCGACCCCACACAAACTTCAATATTTTCATCCGAATTATCCAAACAGTCCCCAACGCCATCGCACATTTTGCTATGGGGAATACATTCTTCAGATTCTTTGCATTGAAACTGCGTGTAAGGTTTTTCACTGAAAATATCAAAAATTAAAAAAAAAAATTGTCCAAATTTAAGTTAAAAATTATGAGTAACTCACGTGCATTTACCACGAATTTTCCGATCAAAAAGACTTGGGTCGTTGGTACAATCGAACTCGTACTCATCTGTATTATCCCAGCAGTCCTTTTTCCCATCACACCACTTGGAGCTCTTGACGCAGGCGCCATAGGAGCACCTATGTTCATTGCATTTAATATTATAGCATTCTACAAATGTCTCATCGGTGCCATCGGCACAATCCATAAATGTATCGCACTTGAGAGAATCAGTTATGCACTGACCATTCTTGCATTGAAACTGCCCCTCCAAACAGCCACTTCCTTTCTCTGTGTTCGGATAGGCTGTAATTATTGAAATACATCAACACAATGTAATGCTACTTGCTTTTTCCATGCAAATATATGTATATTATTGCTTTCAATTACCATATTTCAGGCATAACAGCACTAGGCAAATTCTAAGTACTTGAAACATTGGAGTTGTTCCGATTATAACAATATTTGTAATGCCGCTGTTTCAAATATCGACTGTTCGCTTTCGAGTTTCTTTGCATACTGAATTTAAACTATACCAAACTCTATCGATATCGGAGGGAAACCACGTTGTACATTCGTACACATACATATATGAGAAAACAAATATGATTGAAAGCGGAAAAAATTCACACAAGCACATACAGTACATATGCATGTATATGAAGATTATTATTTTTATTCATGATGATGATTATTATATTTTTAGCACAATATTACAACTTTTATTAATTTTAATCATGATTTATTATTTAATTATTCTCAAAGGGTATTTTGACACCAAACTATTTGTCATATTTGACAATAATAGTAGTTGGAGTATTCGTCGTTGTTCCTTTTTTTTTTCGTTTATAAGTATGGTAACAAATTGAAAGGCGCGCAGATTCGATCAAAGCAGTCAAAACATTCACACACTAGACTTGACACCCTTTCATTTTAAACACACAGTTTTTCAATTTGGTGTTTCCAGTGGGTATTTTTTTTTTTTTTTTTTTATTATTTTTTCCTCGATAAATTGCGGACCCTGTTAGAAATTGTTCAAAGCGGTTTTTTCGCACTCCAATGTTTCAATACACACTCGTTGCCTGCCCATTGATTAAAAAAAACTAGTTTCAGCATTTGAATGCAAATTAAAGGCGGGCCTTACAATGGAATGGATTGCACTACAAAAGAACAAAACAATTTAAAACCAGAAAGAACAGTCATGTTCGGTATGATGAAACTTTCAGATACACCAATTTGCAGATACACTCATATTGAAAATACTATATGAAATAGTGCTCCGATACTAAGATATTTCTAAGATTTTATATTGTGTTGTAGGTGAAATGAGGCTCATGATATCATGAAATATTAGAACAAAAATCAAATGTTTTCTTATAAAAAGTCTCTGCCAGAGTATTACACGTTTATTTGATACAAGGCTGAAAGAACACAAAACGCATACGGCTAGAGACCAAATGCATAATTTTTCATACCTCTAAGGACTCAAATCGTGTCTAGTGCGTATGTTTATATATGCATACCCTGACCCGACTTTGCCCGTGGCACGGATAAAATCAATGTTCTCAAAAAGCTTAGGAAATATTTTGAAAGTAATTTGACGGACAGTTAACAAATAACTTTCATACAGTCATTGGAGAGAAGTTTGGACTTTCCGAAAAGTTGTAAACACGTCTCAACTGATTTAACTTATAGATCCAAGAAAATTAATTTGAGCCCTATTTCCACAAGCAAAGATTTTTAAATTGAGTTTAAGGTCAATCAGATAGTAAGCAAAAAAGTTTCATACAAACGTTTTTCTCGATTTTTCGATATTTTCGGGTGTTATTTCCTGAAACCCCGTCTTAACGTGCATCTTCATCACATAAGGTGACTTCAGTGAAAATTTCAGCTTCCTAGTTCTAATAGTTTGGGCTGTGCGTTGATCACCAATTTACCAAATCGCTGCATCACGTATTCATCATATTCTTATGCAGAGCTCTGAAAATAAGTTTGAGGTAAATCGGGCAACTAAAATCTGCACCAACAAAATCTTATATTCGAATTTCTACTGAGGATGCTTTGATTCTGGAGGAATACATTTTTCGTGAAACACCCCTCGAATGAATTAGAACAAAGAACTGTAAAATTGAGTTTAATGCCGATCAGATGGTAATTAATAAAGGTTCATACAAACGTATTTCGCCACCGTCTCAACGTGCATCTTTATCACATAAGGTAACTACTGTGATAATTTCAGCTTCCTAGCTCATACGGTTTGGGCTGTGCGTTGATCACCAATCAGTCAGTCAGTCAGTCAGAATACTTTTTTAACTACTTTGTGTCTTTGTGGAAATTATCTATTTTTAATTCAATTTAGGCATAGGGGAATCTAGTTTGAGTGTGCTTAGTTTTGTTGGGAGTTGCGAGTGTTGAATTTAAAATGAAAATAATTGTAGCACAGCAAAAGCAGCTTTGATGTGTCTGTGGGGTGGTGAATGTAGTCGGGATGGTAAGGATGAAGTTGGGTGGTGTAGAGTGCAGACAACATAAAGTGCACAAGTGACAATGGAATTGTTTGTAAATTGACAAACAAAATGCGCTTTTGTGATTCACCAAACGGCAAGCGAGAACGACAAACGGCATTTCGCATGGCCAAAGGGGCGCATACGTTATATGGATTGACATGAGCTGGCACTCTCACCCACACACACACACACATAAACTGTTTACACTGACAAATGAGCGCAAATTGCATTGCCAGTTTGTCGTTGTTACCATTTCCTTTACTTTGTGTCATTGTTGCTGTTTTTGTTATTGTTTCCAGCACAACTGTGTCAACAGCAACAACAACGACAACATCAGAGGTTGCTAAAAATCGACTCTGCGTCATTTGCATTTCGATTGCGGCACTCATGCGCTTGAAGCTCTTAAAGCACCGCTGGTTTATATAAGTATATAATAATTCAACAGCCGATAACACATGCCAGAGCATAATTGTAGCTGGGGCTCTTTTAATTGACCTTTATATGGGGTCTGGTATCAGAATGTTTGCGTTTGGTCCGCTGCCTCAGTCCCTTGCAGCGACATAACTTAAAATTTTGAAGTTTTTATGCCAATAAACTTTGATAAAAAAAAAAAAAAAACAAAATTAAATAAATATTACAAGCCTCCAACTTGTAGGCATGCAAAAGCGAATTTGATAAAAATATTGAAATTTGAATAAATATTCCATGCCTGTGTATTGCACTGGGCAACATAT